TTCCTTTCCCTCTGTGAAGCTTTTTTTTTTTAAATCAGTTTTTTTTAACGTTCTTACTGCAGAGACTGCCTCAACAAAACTACCCAGAAAATAAACCCCTTATCATCTTGACTCATTTATTAGATGGGTGTGGTTGTTGTTATGGGCACTGGTGTATAAGATGTTCATTCCTATACCATGTGAACAAGTTGGTGCAGTGTTGGTGACTTTGTTCCCACCCTAACAGCAAAACTCGTTTCAACCAGGTGTATGGCACTGTTGCTGAAAATGTACCATTATTTCACTGGAAGTTTTATGACAATCTCAAATCACTAAAGACAACTGGCAATGATCTGCGGGCCATAGGCTAGGCCTCCACGGGTCCTCGGCAGGTTAATACAGCAAAGACCATGCACTGTTTTCATATAACAGAACACAGGAAAGATGCTCTGCTGAGCTACATCTCTACTTCAGGAAACAACATTGGCCAAACCTTAGTGCCTCATACAATACATTTTATAACTTTACGATGTGACTGTTTGTGTCTACTGCTGCTTCAGACTTGACAAAGATACTGTCTAGAATCTTTCAAGGGGATTGAATCTTCATTCTCAAACAGGTGAAAATAATAATTATCACACAAAACATATTTTATACACATATTACATATTTTTAAGAAAACAAGTATTTAACCATTCAATAAAAAATGCACTCAACTAGTTTCATTTTGTAAAATTGCAGTTCACATAAAAAGGTATAACTTCAAACTATTCTGGGTGCCATGACAAAGGCCATCAGCTAAGCACACATCTACTGGTCATAAGTGCATGTCTATGTATAGATTTGGCCTCCAGAAATTATGTAAATCTTATCTGCATAAACTATCAGCCGTGAGATTTCAATATCAATCAGCAAAAGGCACATGGAAAGTGGATGTACAGGAGTCAAACAAACTCAACAATGAGCAAACAATGATACAGAGAACATGTTTCTGCTAAGATACAACAAAATTAAAGAAGTGAAAACATATGAATAATGAAAACAACAGACTGCACAATGTATTGCCCTGCTTCCCCTGTTCAAGCTTGTAAAAGGTGACAAATTAACAATTTGCTAAAATCGGATGAGTTGGGCTGAAAGGTGAGAAATCATAGCCTATCAGTAAACCACAACACAATGTCAATTTTAAGGGCGAATGCAGAAGAAGAAATTACCTTGCATATTTAATCTTACAGACGAAATAATGGTCTGGTCTCAATCTCCCAAGTAACTGGATTCTCTACCAGAGACATGATTCTGGGAACCAAGCTTCGTAGAAAGGGATATCAGACAATTTTTTGGAAAGGAAAGATGACTTCTCCTTCTTATCATTCAGTCGCTGTAAACTCTTGCAGAAAGTTCTGGTTCTTTATTCACTTCTGGACTTTGGTCTTGATTTAGAACTTGAGTTTTGCATGCACATCCATTTTACAGATCTGATTTAATATATGCAAACTGTTGGTTCCTTGCCTCTCAGGCAGGTGTACTCTGACTCTGAAGGAAAGACTCCCAATTGGTCGCCTCCTATGACATGCTTGTCAGGGATGCAGTAGCTCTATTCTTGTGCTCTAGAAAATGTTTGTACCGATTGTCCAGGATTCACAGCCATATGTTAAAACTGGATGTATGTAGCAAGCAAGAATTCTGTTTCTAACTCAATGACAAAGATATATTGCACAAGATGTTCTTCATTGTATAAAATGCAGTTTTTGCCTGTTCTATTCCGTTTCTTATATCAGTTCTGATGTTATTCATGTGCCCAGATACTTAAATTTCTGTACTTGTCCCAAAATAACACCAATGGCTTTTATTACACATTTGGGAATATTTTGTTTCTTTGATACCACCATTACTTCTGTCTTCCCATTATTCAAACTGAGGCCCATTCTTCCACTTTCTAACACCACAATGTCTATCATTCTCTGTAGTTCTTTCAAGATTGTGTCATCAGCATAACGTAAATTGTATATACTGTGCCCACCAACCACCATTCCGGGCATTTCAATTAAAGATCTCATTATATATTCAATGTACAGTGAAAACAAATCAGGTGACAGTACACAATTACATACTCCATTGTTTCAATCTTGAATTTCACACAGTCCACTGTTTCAATGTGAGTTTAACACAGTCCACTGTTTCAATGTAAGTTTCACACAGTCCCCAGTTTCAATGTGAATTTAACATAGACCATTATTTCAATGTGTTTCACACAGTCCCCTGTTCCAATATATTTCTCACTGTCCCCTGTTTCAGTGTGTTCCACACAGTCCATTGTTTCAGTCTGTTTTACACAGTCTATAGTTTCAATTTGTTTCATAGTCCATTGTTTCAATGTGTTTCACACAGTCCACTGATTCAATGTATTTCTCACAGTCACTGTTTCAATGTGTTTAACACAGTCCACTGTTTCAGTCCAATGTTTTTTTAAATAAATTTCACATAGCCCACTGTTTCAGTGTTAGTTTCAACAAAGTCTCATGTTTCACATAGTCCATGTCTCAATGTGAGTTTCATACAGTTGTTGTATAAATATGTTGATAATTTGAGTTATAAATACATTGTTTAAATATGAGTTTAACAAAGTCCACTGTTTCAATGTGTTTCACATAGTTCATCGATTCAATGTAAGTTTCAAACAGTAAACTGTCCAAATATCAGCTTCAAAAAGTTCAAAAGGAGTTTCAGGAAGTCCATTGTTCCAGTGTGAGTTTCATTTGCTCACTGTTTCAAGGTGAGTTTCACACAGTCAATTGTTTAAATATGAGTTTCACTTAAATATGAGTTTCACAAAGTTCACTGGGTTTCATAAAGTCTATTTTTCCAATGCATTTCACACAGATCACTGTTTCAATATGAGTTTCACAAAGTTCATCAACTTCATAAAGTCCATTTTTCCAGGGCATTCCAGTCTACTCTGTTAAAAAATGAGTTAAAGTTCAATACAAGTTTCACTGTTTTAATGTGAGTTTCATGCAGTCCACTGTTTAAATACGCGTTTCACAAAGTTCATTGTCCCAACGTGAGTTTCACATAGACCCCTGTTTCAATGTGAGTTTTACACAATTCATTGTTTTAATGTTTCACACAGTCCACCGTTTCATTGTCAGTTTTACAGTCCATTGTTTCAGTGTGAGATTTCCCTGTGTGGATTCCAGATGACCATGGGGGGGGGGGGGGGGGGGGGGGGGGGAAGACAACAACCCAAAAAAAAAAGTCAAGTAAAAAAAAAAATAAAAATATTTGTATATCCTTTACAAGACATTACAGAACCAACCCCAGCATTTTTTTTGGCTGTTGTGGTTTTGTGGTTTTTCTAGGCAAATTTTACATTCAATAGTTTACAACTGCTTACTAAACGGTCAGCTCTTGGTACCAACCACTGTTGAAACCAACCAATGCAAGACAAATTGTCCACATATGGTATCAAATCCGGAACCCCAGCGTTAAGAAAGCATGTTAGCAACCCCTAACCCACACACGCATGATATAAAAGGTGACTAATTATTACTGTTTCCTTAGAAGACGGAGTGCATCTGCCTGACAGACGAGGAACCAATAGTCTGCTTACAAGTAAGCCAGATATGTTATACAGGATTTGCGTGCAAATCTCAAGTTCCCGAACAAGACCAGGAGTAGAAGTAGATGAACAACCAGAACTTCCTGCCAGAGTTTAAAGCCAATCAATATGAAGAACAAGAATGTGAGTCTTATTATAGAAGTCTCAAAATGACAAACATGTCATTCTGTTTACACAATCACAACTTAATCATCAATCTCTGGATTACTGCTCTACACTAAAGAGATTGATTTTTGTGCTTCAATGTATGTTATACACATACATACAACAGTAACAGAGCCAGAGGTCTATCACGCAGAATATGGACCGCAGAAATATCAGTGATACTGAAAGATACTATATACGAAGCAAACAGAAGGGCTCTTTCCAGAGATCTCTTCCTCCCCTAATGCTGTGAGGCGTTCCAGGAGTTAAGAAAAAAAAAAGCATTTTGTTCTAATTTTGTAGTACTGACCTGACAAGATAAAGTGAACAAGGGCCGATCTTAAACTATACAATCTACTGTCAGATGTTAAACTATATAATCTACTGTCAGATGTAAACTATATAATCTACTGTCAGATCTTAAATTGTACAATCTACTGTCAGATCTTAAACTATATAATCTATTGTCACATGCTAAACTGTACAATCTATTGTCAGATGTTAAACTATACAATTTACTGTCAGATGTTAAACTATATCATCTACTGTCAGATGTTAAACTATATAATCTATTGTCACATGTTAAACTGAACAATCTGCTGTCAGATCTTAAACTATATCTATATAATCTATTGTCACATGCTAAACAGTACAATCTATTGTCACATGTTAAACTATATAATCTATACACATGTTAAACTATATAATCTATTGTCAAATGTTAAACTGAACAATCTACTGTTCTATTGTCAGATGTTAAAATTAACAAATCTATTTTCTGTATCTTTTATGATGAAACTCACTAAATGCAAATGTTACTTTGAAATGAAAATATAAATGATCACTTGTAAATATTGTATAATGGGCCATATATATAACGTCCCAATAAGCACAGCGTAGAGCGTTACAGTTTATACAATTAAAAAAATGCTTTATTTTTCTAGCAATGCCATTTCCCAATACCTTCCAAGTCTCTGACATAAAAATATTTCGACACAGAAAAATGCCACAGAACGAAAAACAAATATATCCATGGCAAGAGTGGAAACTCACAATACATGCAATATTTAACAGGTCTCTCTGATGACAAAAGTGCAGAGGAATAAGCAACATAGGATATTATGAGAAAAAACTGCAAATTTATATTTCATTAAATACGTATTCCCCACATGAAATGATTTCTGATAATGTCTACAAACTTAGGTCGACAAATCACACAAAACAGCAGGGGTTAAGGAAAACAGACAACTCTACCACTTCACTGTTTCCTCACTGTAAACGACTCAGAAGTTTCTGCCCTCCTGCAGGTGAACCACAGGTAAACCGGGTGCACATAGGTAATCACCATGAAGATGGTCAAAAACAGATTTACCTGTAGAGAATACAGAAATTTATATTTGAATCAGGTACATGTCATTCCACTCACTACTAAGTACTCCGCTCATCATAATCAAGTACTGGCTTTTCCACACAGTACTAAGTACTAGCTACTCTGCTCTCTATCAAGTACGGGCTATTCCACTCAGTATTAAAAACCAGCTATTCCACTCTCTATCAAGTACCAGCTATCCCACTGAGTACAATGTACCAGCACTCCGCCTGCTATCAAGCATCGGCTATTCCACTTAGTACTAAGTACCAGCTATTTCGCACTCTATCAAGTACCAGCTATTCCACTCAGTACCAAGTACCAGCTACTCTGCTCTCTATGAAGTATCGGTTATTCCACTCAGTACTAAGTAAAAGCAGTTCTGCTCTCTATCAAGTACCGGTTATTCCACTCAGTACTAAATACCAGCTATTCCGCTCTCTATCAAATAACAGTTATTCCACTCAGTACTAAATACCAGCTATTCCGCTCTCTATCAAATAACAGTTATTCCACTCAGTACTAAGTACCAGCTATTCCACTCAGCACAAAGTACCAGCTATCCACTCTCTATCAAGCACCGGCTATTCCACTCAGCACTAAGTACTAGCTATTTCGCTCTCTGTTAAGTACCGGCTATTCCACTCAGTACTAAATAAAAGCAGTTCTGCTCTCTATCAAGTACCGGTTATTCCACTCAGTACTAAATAAAAGCAGTTCTGCTCTCTATCAAGTACCGGCTATTCCACTCAGTACTAAATAAAAGCAGTTCTGCTTTCTATCAAGTACCGGTTATTCCACTCAGTACTAAATACCAGCTATTCCGCTCTCTATCAAGTACTGGCTATTCCACTCAGTACTAAGTACCAGCCACTCTGCTCTATCAAATAACAGCTATTCCACTCAGTACTAAGTACCAGCTATTCCACCCAGCACAAAGTACCAGCTATCCACTCTCTATCAAGCACCGGCTATTCCACTCAGCACTTAGTACCAGCTTTCCACTCTATCAAGTACCGGCTATTCCACTCAGTACTAAGTACCAGCTTTTCTGCTCTGTATCAAGTACAAGCTGTTCTAATCTGAAAAAAGAACAAATTGATCCACTCTGAATCAATAACAATCTGCCAAACTTTAAATCAAGAAAAAGCTGCCCCACTGTGAATCAAGAACAAGCTGTCCCACACTGAATTGAGAAACAGCTGTCCCACTTTAAATTAAGAACAAGCTGTCCCACTTTTAATCAAGAACAAGCTGTCCCATTTTGAATCAAGAACAGGCTGTTCCACTTTGAATCAAAAACAAGCTGTTCCGCTCTATCCCTGTAGGCTTCTCCTGCATTAGTCCAAATGTCAATTACTGAGGCTGTCATCTGCAGCACTGCATGAAGTACATCAGAAAAGTTGCCGACACTTGGCTGACAGATTCAGACAACATGGTATTCCCCTCCGTACCAAGTGCATGCTATTGCCCTTTGTCCTTGGTACACACCATTCCCCTCTGTACCTATTCGTGCTCTTCAGCAGTGTATCTAGTGTATTTATTATGTTCCACTTTGTACCTACTGTATTCTATTCTACTCTGTACCTAGTACACACTGCACCTATTTATGCTCTACAGCTCTGTACTCTGTACCTAGTGCATGCTATTCCACTTTGTACCTGGTACACTCTCTTCCATTTTGTACACAGTAAAAACTAATCCACTCTGCACCTATTTCATGCTCTTTAACTCTTTATCTAGTGTATTCTATTCTACTTTGTACAAGTACCTAATATATGCTATACTACTTACTCTCTATTACAGTGGCTTTAAACCTTAAGAATGTGGTAAGACAGTTTCTCACGTTGTGGTGATCCCAACCCTACAATTATTTTCATTGCTACTTCATAACTTCAGTGAATATGTGTTTTCCTATGGTCTTTGGCAACCCCTGTGAAAGGGTCGTTTGACCCACAAAAGGGTCACAATTTTAACCCACAGGTTGAGACCACTGTTCTATCATGTACAAGCAATTCCATTCTACAGATATTCAAGCCAATTCAAACTTATTCAGGTACAAATCTTTCTACTGTGTACTTTGTACATGATATTTCACTCTTCATTTAGTTCAAGATATAGTGTTATTCAAGAACATATTACTCCATTTTGTATCTAGACATATTAGACCATAGTGTCCTGTCCAGCTGCTGCTGACATTCTGAAAAGTTATTTCTTCTTCTTCTGTGTTCAACCGAAGATGTACTTGCATTGTGTCCGTTTACAGCATGGCTGCGATATTTGCACCTTTTGGTCAACACATCTGACTTCTGCGGGCATTTGTTGACCAGGTTAGCCTTCCCGGGAAAAGTTATTTGTTTCTAGTCACGGCTTGCTTGTGCAAACTCACCATTTCTGGACTGGGGGTCAAAAAAGCTGCATCGCCCAGCCTCCAAGATTAGTGTTTGGTGCAACACTGTGTGCTGTGGACTGCATATGGAGTGTGTTTTTTTGTGTGTGTGCTTACTATGGCCTGTGTTGTGAACTGCATTAAAAATGGCAGGTGGCCAGTTGCATTCAGAATGGCCGGCACCTATGTGTTCTTCGAGTGCAATGCCAGTTTTCTTAAGTGGCTTGCATAAACACTGAGTTGCAATTCTGCCAGGAGACTGTAGTTAGTGTTGGCACATCAGACAGCTGCCTTATACATTGACTTTGTGTGTGCAGGCTTCAATACTTTGCTGGAACTGATATGTCAATCACTAGTTTTCAAATGGGACAGCAAAGAACATTCTGTGCGACTTCCACTGTCTCAGGAATGGAGCGATCCGTTCTGCAGTGAACTTGGAACCTTGATTAATAAGCCTAGTTATTTTATTTCACTCTACTATGTACATGCAACTACACACTGTCCCTAGAACATGCTGTTCTACTTTGTACTATTACATATGATTTCACCAGGTACCTAGTACATTTTATTCCATTCTGTACTTTATACATGCTCCTACACACTGTACACGGTACAAACTATTCTACTGTATACCTAGCACATGCTATTCCACTTTGTACCCAGCGCATGTGATGAAATCATTTAAAGATATGACTTATCTGGATCTTCCTGGATTGATAACAACATGACTTATCTGGAAAATGTGATGAAATCACATCTATCAAATAAGCCAGATATGTCTAAAACAGATGTGCACACAACATTCAGGTTCTGGAACGACTTAAGTCCAGAGGCGGACAAACAACCAGAACTTTCTGCCAGAGTTTACAACCAGTGAACACGAAAAGGAAGAGCACATTTACCTAATACATTTAATTCTACTCTGTACTTTGTACATGCTCTGACACACTGTATCTAGTACATGCTCTTCCACATTGTACTTAGAACAGTCAATTTCACATCGTGCCTAGTACATGCTTTTTTCATTCTGTACCTAGTGCATGCTTTTCCACTTTGTACCTAGTATATGTTATTCCACTTTGTATCAACTTCTGCCTCCATCACCGTGAACGTTCCTGGTTGTCACAACCCTCTTCAGATCCTTTTTTCCGATAGCCTGACCAAAAAAATAACATCTCTGGCCTCCTGCAGGTGACCCACAGCCACAATGGGTGAACATACGTGATCGCCACGAAAATGATCAAAAAAATATTCACCTGTAGAGATAAAAATTCACATTTTATCTAAAAACAGTACACATCTGCGCTGTACCCAGTACATAATTTTCCACTCTGTAGCAAGTACATGTTATTTCACTGTGTACCCAGTAAATGCTATTCTACTCTGAAATAAGTATACCCTACTCCACTCTGTACTGTGTACACATTATTTCACTCTGTATTTATTCTTCTTAAAGTGTATGCCATGTGGCGATGGTAGTCATGTCTATCCACACCTTTTGCCTCTTGTACTTTCAATCAACTCTGACACAGATGATCCTCCATGCCATGTCAGACTGTCCAGCCTCGTTTCTCTCGGTCTCCCTCTGCCTCTTTTCCCCTCAAACTTTTCTACTGTCATGATATACTCCAGTTTTCTCCTTATCACCTGACCAAAGAATGCAGATCGTCTTTTTTTCTATGTGAGCAATCAGTTCTCTTCTTGAATCAGTTTCTTTCAAGACAACTTCCTTACTATTTTTTTATATGTCCAGGGTATTCTCACCATTTTACTAATATACCAATAGTCCATGATTCACTTTATACTGTGTACATGTTATTTCCACTCCGTAATGTCTACATGCCACTCCCCTCTGTACCAAATACTTTGAGGTTATGCGACCAGCTTCATTCCCTAAACATTCTTCCTGGTAGCAAACTCAGGTAAATATTTATACAGACTAGTTACAACTGGAAGGGAGTAAGAACTGTGGGAAAGCAAATATCTCTCTTCTGAAGGCAGCCAAATAATTCATCATAATCATATATCATGTGTCTTGCTAGATCAGTGGTTTTCAGCTCAAAGCAGAAAAGGGGGCGGGGTCCCAACGTTTGAAGCAATTTTGAATTTGAGAGCATCTGTACTCTAATCTATTATACTAACATTTTTTTCCTAGCTTAATTATTAATTATTATTTAACAGTCAAAAAACAAAACAGGGCTGCAGAAACGATATAGAGAATGATCTCTGTTGTGCCCTGTCAAAAGATTGGAGCAATTTTGACATTCAGAGCATCTGTACTTCAATCTGTGACATAAACATTTTTCCTAGCTTAATTATAAATTATAATTTAACACCATAAAAACAAAACAGGGCTGCCCGCTTCATACGGAGAATGATGTTTCCCGTTATCACAGTGTTGTCCGATGCCTTTCTTCTCTTCAGATAAGTAAAGAAGTCATCTCAATGTTACAGTTGTGTATAAAGCTCAACCTTCATTAGTTTATTAAATTAATTATATAGTAAAATGTATGTGGATTCAACAGGCAAAGATATCATAATGTGTAGTAGACAAACAACAAGGACATCATAGCTCCAAACACCAGGAAAACAAATTAACTGAAAAGAGTCTCTCACCTGCATAAACTCTGTAGCTTCTGCCCAGTCAAACAAAGCATACTGGAACATGCTGATGATGCCTCCAGTGATGATTAAAATCCCGTACATGATGCCAAAAAATTCACCTGGAAACCTGGAGTTAATGACGTACAAGAAAACACCATACACATATACTAAGGAAATGAGTCAATGAAATATAAGAGAATATCCCACACATTTACCAGAAAAGCTGCAATCAACATTGTGTAATAAAACTAACATTTATCGGCCAACCTGCACTGAACATTGTATAATAAGACATTCATATTAACCAGGGAACTTGCACTCAATATTGTGTAATAAAACATTCACATTTACTAAGGAACTTGCACTCAATATTGTGTAATAAAACATTCACATTTACTAAGGAACTTGCCCTCAACATTGCATAATAAAACACTCACATTTACCTGGGAACCTGCACTCAACATTGTATAATAAAACACTCACATTTACCTGGGAACCTGCACTCAACATTGTATAATAAAACACTCACATTTACCTGGGAACCTGCACTCAACATTTTATAATAAAACACTCACATTTACCTGGGAACCTGCACTCAACATTGTATAATAAAACACTCACATTTACCTGGGAACCTGCACTCAACATTGTATAATAAAACACTCACATTTACCTGGGAACCTGCACTCAACATTGTATAATAAAACACTCACATTTACCTGGGAACCTGCACTCAACATTGTATAATAAAACACTCACATTTACCTGGGAACCTGCACTCGACATTGTATCATAAAACACTCACATTTACCTGGGAACCTGCACTCGACATTGTATAATAAAACACTCACATTTACCTGGGAACCTGCACTCAACATTGTATAATAAAACACTCACATTTACCTGGGAACCTGCACTTGACATTGTATAATAAAAATAAAACATTTACATTTACAGGGAACCTGCACTAGTCACATTTACCAGGGAACCTGCAGTCAATGACATAGAAAAACATCACACATTTATATCAGGAAGCATGTAGTCAATAACATACATAAAAACACACACATACATACATACACACACACACACACACACACATATATATATATATATATATATATATATATATATATATATATATATATATATATATATATATATATATATATATATATATATATATATATATATATATACACACACACACACACACACACACACAGACACATGGAAGACTAGAACTTGAATGTCTCCTCTCACACCGAGGGCACAAGTTCAACTCAGAATTAACAAAGGTATCACTCCAAGTAACGCAATGAATATAACATGAAATCATAGAAACGTCGCAGACATATAATTCGCTGATTTTTCAGCATCACCATACCAAAAAAAAACAAAGCATACAATTGCTCACAGGCAGAAAGTAGTGACACAAATCTCTTACTGCGGCTGTCAACTCTCGCTTGTCTGTACTCAAGTTAACCCAAACCGTCCACTCATTTAAACACCTCAGACTAAAATGAAACGATTTGTAGACAAGTCCGCTCCCCCTTCCCCGCTCCCAACTGCAGCTTATGAAAAACACTCACCAAACACAGTTTAGTAGAGGCAATTATTCAATCAGCACCCTTCCTTGACTGAGGACTGCAAGCCACTAGATCCTCTGCAAGTAACCATCAGTATTTTGAGGGCATTCTCTAGTTCCGCATTTTAAAAATCAAGACCCATTGTTGTTGTTGGCACCATTCCAACTTTCCTGTCAATAGTATTATATGGGAAGACAACTGAATCATCATCATCCATGGTGATGGCGAGTGTGTCTAGCAAGATCCGCCCGTGTTAATAAACACAATGAGAGTAGAGCATGGGATTTCAGGACCACTGTTGCCATCCCACATATTTATGTGCTTCTCTCAGACGTCCAGCTCTCAAACTTGCTGCAATGTTTTCCTTTATTTCTCTTCCCTTCCTGATTTTCCCCTCCACTAAAAACGGCCCATGGTAGTCGGTTCCCACAAATCTACCTTAATGTTTACTAATACTCATGTTTAAAACATGCCTACCACTCATTCTCTGGCATCTTTCTGAATATATTCATACTTATGGCACACAACATGTACACTGAAATGTCCCCAAACATTTATACTATGCTCACACTATGCAAGCCAACAAATACATGACGAGATGAGTACTTACACAGCTCCGATGAGTCCTGCTGCCAGTGTGTACATAAATGATCTGAAGAACAGAAGGAACACAAACACTGCGTACAGTGTGGTTGGGTCCTCACTTAGGATCAGCCCTGACATGACAATACACAAGGTTGTGGTCAGAGCTAATGGGAAAACTAGAGGCATCAGCTGCCGCCGAGTAAGGGACTCACTCGCTGTAAAACAGACATCAAAATATAATAATCAGTCATTCTTCCCATGTTGTTTTTTAAACTCCTACTTGAAAAGAAAAAATTTTTTTGTTCAGTTGTTTCATCTTCTTCTTCTGCATTCATACTTAAAAGAACTACTGGCATGTTGTGTTGCGGTTTACAGCTAGGCTGCAAAATCTTTGCCTTTTAGTCCAACACGTCCGATTTCAGATATACCCTTATTATTCATCTTTCCCACATTTTTGCTAGGATCTATTCATTTTCCTCAAAACCACACTAAGAGCTCCCTGTCCTCATACTGTTCCCTTCTCTACTTATATTTATTTCTTGTCTTCTTATTAGGCTTAGGCATTGCAAACGCGCTTCGTAATGGTACCAAGAGCTGACCGTTTAGAAAGCAATGGCAAACTACTGAATGTAAAATTTGCCAAGAAAAACCACAACAGCCAAAAAACGATGGGATTGGTTCTTCAATGTCCTGTAAAGGATACGCAACTAACGACTAACTAATTAATTTCATATACTGCTTCTTCTTCACCTTTCTCATACTTCTTGTCATGTCTTCTTACATTCCTCCATACTGCTCCTTGTTTTACCTCCTCTCAATTTATTATATATCTTGACCTTACATTTAATCTTTTTGTTATTATATTATTTTCTAATACTGCCCCTTGTTCTTTTGCCTCTTTTCATTTTATTTTATTCCTCTTCTTATTTATTCCTTCAGTTCTCGTTATGCCTAGTGGCACATGAGGCTTCAGAGAGGATTTTCCATGCTTTCCTGTCCTGTACAATCTTCAGTGCAGTTTTCCATGTCAAAGATGCCGCACTCAGGTTACTTTCCATCGTTCGTCTCCAAGTTGTTTTTGGGTCCCCCTGTTTTCTCTTTTCTTCTGGTGTCCATGTGAGAGCTGTTTTGGCAGGTATATCAGGATTCATTCTCATAACGTGGCCAAGCCATTTCCATCTTCTCTTGGTTATCATATTGTCTAAAGTTTCTTGGTTTGTGACTTGAAATAGTTTAGTGTTTGAGATTGTATCTGGCCAGAAAATTTTGATAATTCTACGTAGACATGTGTGGTGGAAGGTAGACAGCTTGTGTGCATCCTTTCTGGTCATTCTCCAGCATTCCGCTCCATAAAGAATAACTGGCAAAATGGTGCTCTTGTAGAGCCGGAGTTTGGTACCTCTGCAGTAATTGTTGGATTTCCAGATTTGCCTCATCCTTCCAAAAGTAGCTCTAGCTTTGTTCAGACGTGACTGTATGTCCTCTTCGGTTCCTTCCGGCAGGGACACCACACTGCCAAGATATGTGAAATGTTCTACATTTTCAAGAGTTTGGTTATTTATGGTCACTGGTTGTTGGTTTGGATTGCTTGTCATGATCTTAGTTTTCATGTTTATGTGATAGGAGTGCTATATCATCTGCAAAATCAAGGTCCTCAAGAATGGTGAATGGAGTCCATTGTATGCCTCTCAATGTTCTGTCTACTGTGTTCTTTAGTATCCAATCAATCACAAGGTTGAAGAGGAGAGATGACACAACACATCCCTGTCTTACACCTGTCTTTACTGGGAAAGATGTATTGTAATTTTTTATACTGCAGGAAAAGTCTTTATCGAAGAGAGCAATTATATTGAATATTTTTTCTGGAATTCCATGTCGTAAAATTTTCCATAGACTGTCTCTATGTGCGCTGTCAAAAGCTTTCTCAAAGTCCACAAAATTAATATATATACTTTTCTGCCATTCACTGCATTGTTCTAAAATGTTGCGTATGGCGAAGATCTGTTCAGTTGTTCCTCTGCCCTTTCTGAATCCTGCTTGTTCTAGTCGTAGGCATTTATCTACTCCTTTTTCAAGCCTCATTTTTAGTTTCTTTCTTTTCCTTGTTCTGCCTTTCAACATCAGATGATAAAAAGAGTTATGGAGGATAAGCTTTGACATGTGCTTCATATACTGTGATGTTCATTTCTTCTGCAATCTCATTTATTCTTCATCTACAGGACAAACAATGACAAATGGACCTGAATGGGGTCAATGACAATCTATGCTCCCACAAACATCTTAACCAATAAGATGTTCTATGTCTGTGGCTGCAGTGAGTTGGTTGAAGACCAGATGACTGCACCACCATGGCTGGTTACAACAACTGCCCAACATCAGACAGGTTACAGCTCAGACATTACTTTATACTGACTTTACTTTTCTAGAATGTGTGAACACTTTGCAGAAGAAGTTGGCAAGGAACAGAAGATACCCACAGCACAGAATGGAAAACTATCACATAAAAAAATAAAGAGTTAACAGGCTCAGAAGTCATCGGAGAGATGCAGTCACTGCCACTACCACAATTTACATGATAATGTTAAGATATCTAAAATCATAAAACTAATAGAAAAGCAACTTACTGGCAAAAAGTCGGCTAAAGAAATCACACACTACACCAGCAAAAGGTGAAGTGAATAGTCCACACATCAGGATGTACATAAACACATTGGTATAATGGCTAACTGAAAAACAAGACCAACAGAATCAATCAATGGGTGGTTGAAAACAAAAGGCACCATAATCAATCAACAAATTTCATTAAAAAAAAGGATAAACTACAATGTCAAAAATTATACAGGTTTAGGAAGTCTGCTAGGAAAACTGAGTTATTAACAATTTGGTTTTGAAAACAGAGCCTGCAGTTCTTTACAGCAGGTTTGGGAGGGCTGATAAAACAATGGGACAAGTGCATCAATGTTGGTGGAAATTATGTTTAAAAAAAAATAAAAGGACAGTGTATGTGCACAAATAAACAGTTTTCAAGTTGCTATCATCTTAATTTGTTAGTTTTTTTAAACAACCCTTAGTGACTTACTGACTTCTGAGAGAGAGAGAGAGAGAGAGAGAGAGAGAGAGAGAGAGAGAGAGAGAGAGAGAGAGAGAGAGAGAGAGAGAGAGAGAGAGAGAGAGAGAGAGAGAGAGAGAGAGAGAGATGGAGGGAGGGGGAGAGAGAGTTTTCAAGTTGCTATCATATTTCTTTTAACAAACCTTAGTGACTTACTGACTTCTAAGAGAGAGAGAGAGTGAGAGAGAGAGAGTGAGAGAGAGAGAGAAAGAGAGAGAGAGAGAGATGGAGGGAGGGGGAGAGAGAGTTTTCAAGTTGCTATCATTTGTGTTTTTTTAAACAACCCTTGGTGACTTACTGACTTCTGAGAGAGAGAGAGAGAGAGAGAGAGAGAGAGAGAGAGAGAGAGAGAGAGAGAGAAGAGAGAGAGAGAGAGAGAGATGGAGGGAGGGGGAGAGAGAGTTTTCAAGTTGCTATCATTTGTGTTTTTTTTTAAACAACCCTTGGTGACTTACTGACTTCTGAGAGAGAGAGAGAGAGAGAGAGAGAGAGAGAGAGAGAGAGAGAGAGAGAGAGAGAGAGAGAGAGAGAGAGAGAGAGACAGAGAGAGAGAGACAGAGAGAGAGAGAGACACACACATACACAGAGTGGAAAAACATTTTTTTAAAGGAAATTACCATTTTTCATGCCTTAGGGCGTACTGGTGGGCTACACTTATATTTTAGACCAATCAGCACTCAGTGGGCGGATGTGGTTAACATCACACGGCCGCCTTTACTTCTCATGACTTTACCTGTACCTATTTAAGGCGGAGTCGACCTGGAAGTCAAGATCATCTCTGGAAAAAAAAAAGTATGGCTCCATCAGGGCATGAACACTGAATCTGCAGGGGAGCATCTAGTCACTGTGTGTGTGCATTATGTGTGTGTGTGTGTGTTTTTTTTTGTTGGGGGGGGGGGGGTAGGGGGATACAGAGAAAGAGAGAGCTGACAATGAAGTAATCAGTGTGTCAATACTGGAACTGAAAGGGTACCTTTGCTGTTAGATGTGAGAATGGTCTCCAGTGTGACATTCAAAGAGCCCAAGAAAAAGTAAAACCTCAGCTGAAGGATGGACAGCCATACGACATGGAGGATGTAAACAGGAGACAGCATGCACTTCCTCAGACTTGGCTTGTTTTCTTCCCTCTCCTCATCATCAGCACCTTTAGCTGTGGAGCACATAACATCATACACCTGTTATTTCCAAGCTGTTAATTGTCTAAGCAATCAAATGAGTAAAGTAACAGTAAAGGACCTTGTCTTTTACGCCTTCAGATATAATGGGCACACAGGGTTAGACCCATATTTTATGGACCAATCTGCGCTTGGTGGGTGATATGGTCAGCATCATGCCAGCCACCTTTACTTCCCAGGACTTTACCTGGTACCCATTTAAGACAGTGTTGACTTAGGAGATAGTCTTTTTTTTTTAAAGTTTAGCACAATGGGAATTTGAACCCATTACCTTTGGATCTGCAGGTAGGCATCTAACTGCTACACCATGTCAGGTCCCCAATCAATTGAGGGCTAAATACAAATTTTTTTTAATGGCAGAAAGAGGTTTGTGACAACAACAAATGTTACAACAGCTAATGAGCACCTAGATACTACATCTAATGCATATCCAAATATACTCAGCAGAATTCTCAAAGATGCTCAGAATATGTTTCTTGTCCACTAAGTCGTCACAAGTCCTTGACTGCATCATGTCAAAAAAGAGTCAAGTCTCTCTCTCTCTCTTTCTCTCGATCTCTCTCTCTCTCGCATTAAGACCTTTTAGCTCCTTATGGCTGTTATCTATATTTGCGATCTTTATTGTGTAGGACTTGTTCAGATATGGTTTCTTTTGGTTCCTTTATGTCTTGTTGTCATTAGACGTTTTAACTGATGTTGATTCTTCCTTCTATAACACTGTTTAAACATGTTAAAGGTATTGGTGTCTAAGGAGGTAGGGCTCTTTAATTCCTTCTTGTTATATGGTTTCGTTTTATTCCCGACTATGTCAGAACACATCTGGAGGCAATTATTAAGTTGTCATATTTCGGTTCTTTTTTAGCCACCATTATTGCAAGGTTGCTGATTGGCTGATTCTATCTTCTGTTGTCCCTGTTGCCCTTTCCAATCTCACTTGTTGCTATTTAGGTCTCTGGTATTCATTGGTGGTCCTTACAAGGACTTATGTGTAATCTTGTCTTCCCTTCTTTCCTGTTGTTTCTATTACTCATCTCTGTCTGGCGTCCTCTGTTTTGCTTAGAGTCAAGTCAATACAACATGGTCCTTAAACACTGGCTAAAGCATCAGATACTCAGTTCGAATACAAATTCTCATACTCTTACTTGTTAGTTTAACAGCCACATCTGTATCACCAGCTACCTCATCAGGGCCATGGGCTGGGGGCTTCTTGAAAAAGCCTTTAGGCAGGAAGAAGAAAGTGCTAATTAAAGTCAACAGGTGAGTGCATGCCAGGATGATGTAGGAAGTCTGTCTGCTGATCCCATTTTCATAGCCAATCTGCAAAATCAGAACAAAAAAATATTAAAAATTAAAAAACATAAACACTGCCTAACTTTAAACATTCATTATTGTCGAGGTGTTTGCTGATAATGGTGTTCATCAGACACAACAAAAGACCAAGGGCAGTAGAGCTTCTTGTCTTTGTCTCATCAGTTAAATACAACTACATGATATAATGCTTTTAGTGTAGTGGTATACTTAATGAAGTGTTCAAGTGAATGCAGTGTTAAACTTAATGAAGAATGTTAAAACTTAAAAACTATTTTCGTAGCTTTCAGGCAGTGGTATGAGAGGAAGACTGTGGAAGAGACTGGGGTCTTATTATTTCTAAAGACTGCACTGGATGCACATAGCCACTACAGCCATCCTCCACTGTGTGATCAGCATCTATTATTCTTTTTTATTTAAAGGTGTTAAACATATTGCAAAGTTAAACTTAACATCTAACACTTTTTTAAAGGTTTTAAACATATTGCAGAGTTAAACTTAATATCTAACACTTTTTTAAAGGTGTTAAACATATTGCAGAGTTAAACTTAACATCTAACACCCACTAACGTCAATCGCTGGGAGATCCTTAACTTCACGAAAGGCATCAGAAGACTATTGTCTAGTTAGCTGTGCTTCAAAATATATACAGTCCTTCCCCACTGAGCAGTAATTTAGAGTGTGGTATGATCTCGGATATGATAACACAGGAACCTACTGGTCAGGCATGCTTGAACAAAGCAAGTTTCCCCCCCACGATGTGTGTCTCACACACAGAGATAAATGTTTAAGTGATAAATCTAATGAAATAAATCAACAGTGAGATATTTATAAAATTAATGTTCAAGGCGGAGCAGAAAGCAAATATTAAAATGCCTTAGAACAGTCATAATGACAATGTAATCATTATAAGTCAGCAGGGCCTTTAAAGAACATTGTTCTCTTCACAGGACACCTGCAAATCTCTTTAAATAGCTAACTCTCCAGCTCTAGAAGGTCGGCTTCTGCCTCATCTTCCAGAAACTGCAACCTACATCACAGTTCTTTTCAGGTCACCAACATGGCCAAAATAATGCAATATTCAACAGACTTGAGATATGACTGTACCTTGATCAAGAGTTGGACTCCAGACGAGGCATCAAAACCACCACACATGAGCCCAACAACTGCAGAGCCACCTTTTGGGAAGAGCATGGACAGTTGCATGTTTGTCACCAGGTAGGCTATACCACCGGCCCCCAGCATAGACAATCCAGGAAACAGCAGGAATGGTGTATCTGAAAAGAGCCAGAAAATCTTGAAAAGATAGACAATGTAGAAAGAGACATTTAAACAATGTTGAAAAGAGACACATCAGGCAATGTTGAAAAAAGACATGCCAGAAAATCTTGAAAAGAGACATATCAGACAATGCTGAAAAAGGACATATCAGACAATGCTGAAAAAGGAAATATCAGACAATGCTGAAAAAGGACATATCAGACAATGTTGAAAAGTGACATGTCAGACAATGCTGAAAAGGGACATACCAGACAATCTTGAAAAGAGACATATCAGACAATGTTGAAAAGAGACATATACCAGACAATCTTGAAAAGAGAAAAAATGTTGAAAAGAGACACATCAGACAATGTTGAAAAAAAAAAGACATATTAGACAATGTTGAAGAAAAACATTAAAGACAATATTGAAAAGAGATATATCAGACAATGTTGAGAACAGACATTTTAGACAATGTCTGAGAGCAGTGTAGGTTCATAACGATAACACTGCAGGATAATGTAAACACATCTAACAAGTTGGTCTAAAATCCAAGATAGGGAAAGAAAGAAAAAATACATCCACTAACTTCGTCCCGTCCAAGACAGGAATATAAATTCTACACACATCCAACAAGAGTAAAGTGAATCAAGAACTGCTGAAGCTGCCTTCAATAGCTTTCCCCTGATAAAATGCAAAATGCAGGGCATTTGAAGATGGTCAAATGCTTTATGAGACTGGGATCACTGGTGGAACTAATGTGATATAGATTTCTGTTGGAAAACTAAATAGGACAAATCATGGGAACCCACCTAATTAACTCTTTGTGTCAGAAGAAATACACCATATGTGACCAGCTATAGTCTGTATATAGTACCAAATGGTGTGTTATTATTGAATTTACATGTAGTCTGAAAATATGAATGAAATCTGGCCTAATATTTTAATATGAAGCACATCACATCATATATCATTATTCTGCCAGTAAGAAACTGATTCTATTTCAGTGTGGCTATTGTTTCATTTGGATTGTCTTTTGGGACTGAAAGAGAAGAGTTAAAGGTTAAGAGAATAAGGATTAATAAAACCATATGGTATTCCGTATGTCTAATGCCTTCTGATAAACAAAAACTCACCGTTAGATAGAAATGCCATTGCCAATGCTCCGACAATGAAGACAACACTGAAATGAAGTAAATAAAGAAAACAGATAGCTTTCAAAGACTGTCCACCTTGTTGACCCTATACTTCCAAGATTATTTACAATCAAATCCTGTGCTGTCCACCTCATTCACTATATACTTTCAAGATTACATACAATCAAACACTGTGCTGTCCACCTTCTTCTTCTTCTTCTTGTATTCGCTTTCTGATTTTCACTGACAAAGTTCTTGCGATAAACCTGACCGTTTTTAGGAGTTTCCTTTCAGTTCCATACAACTCTGAGGGCAATGCTGACTCACTGCCCCAGTATTCCCTTTCTAATGGGCTGCACAAAGGACATTCATGCAGGACATGTTATGTAGTCTGCACACACAGCCAGCCCACAAGGGCACAATCGTGAACTACTTGGAAGAAGCCTGTACATATGCTTGTCCAGTTTGCTATAACCTGTCCTGAGAATAATGTTCTGCCCATGCCGGTCAAGTAAGTGGTAGTCATCTCTGACCAGATTCTGTTCACTTCTGATAGACCCCCGTGTGGGTTCCGGGGCCCCATTGTGGGGGAAAACAAGAATGGACCCACTGCCTCCCCAAAAGCATGTCGTAAGAATCGACTAATTGGGGAGCTTCCTTTGAGGTCGGAGTGCATCTGCCGGAGAGGCAAGGAACCAACAGTCTGTATTCAAGAGAATGAGATCTGTAAAACTGATGCACACGCAACACTCAGGTTCTGGAGCAGGACTGCAGTTCAGTACTGGACGAGCAACCAAAACTTTCCGCCAGAGTATACAGCTGGTGAACGCGAAGAAGAAGAAGAAGACTTCTGATAGACTTCTCCTCAAATTATGCTACCGCCTTCTCTTCCTGCTCCTTTCTTAGCAAGTTAATCCGCGGTTTCGTTTCCTGGTACACCCACTTGGGATGGCACCAACTGCAGTACAGTATGCTTTTGTTTGGCCACCTGGGTTAAGTTCAGATCTCAGGTGATGGAGTTTACCACACTGGAGATTAAAAATTGTCAAATATGTGGCCGGAGCTGCAACAACACCAATTTGATTTGTTTTATCTGGTTTCCATTGTAGCTTCTACATGATTGGGTGGTCATTACTGGCAAACACAGAGAGCACAATATCTTGTTCCTTTATTAGCAAACACAGCGAACGCAATCTTTTGTTCATTTATTAGCAGACACAGATTATACAATCTTTTGTTCATTGATTTACGCATCTGAGAAGATAACAACTTGGTGGCAGTCAGAAATGGTGTTGTGTAACATTTCAGCAGCCTGCTCTAGTGCTAGGATCTCTGCTGTGTAGTTGGAACAGAATTTACCAGTGGGCATACACTTTGTGTGGTGGTGGTTGCCTGGGTATGTAACAAAGATTCCAACAACCTCATTTTTAAATGCACAGGTTGCTGATCCATCTGTGTAAGGCTGTCCATCTCATTCACCATAAACTTACAAGATTACATGCAATCAATGTGCTGTCCATATTATTCACCATATACTTACAAGATTACATACAATCAATCATTATGCTGTCCACATTATTCACTAAAAACTGTCAATTTTACATAACTGTCAAGATTACAATAAAAAAATGTGCTTTCCACATCACTGACCGTATACTTTCAAGATCATATACAAAACAATGTGCTGTCCACATCACTCACCATATACTTTCAATATTACATAAAATCAAACAATGTACTGTCCACCTTGTTCACCACATACTTTCAAGATAACATTCAAAGTTGGGGAGCTGCGAGGTCTCAAGGCGTGGTGTCCGCCTCGAGTGCTGGAAGTCTCAGGTTCAAGCCCCGGTGAAAGCTAGGATTTTTTTATGTAGACTTCTAGTAATTTCCCCTGGTCTCTGGGTAGTAAGATCGGACGCCTATTGTGTACTGTAGCGTACATAAAAATTCCCCTGGCAGTGGGAAATTGAAAAATAGTAGCATAACGGTGCTGCCCGGGCAAAACTTAAGAGTTAAAAATCTACCTAAAGTACTTAAGAGTTCATGCACTGTTCTGAGATTCTTCAGACTCAGGCTTGAGTTAGAAGTAGAATGGAGCAGTTATGAGATACTACTCTTGTGCCATGGTGTTAATCCGTCATGTAAAAACCTAAATAAAAGATTACATACAATCAAACAATGTGTTGTCCACCTCATTCACCATATACCTTCAAGATTACATGCAATCAAACAATGTGCTGTCTACCTCATTCACCATATACCTTCAAGATTACATACTATCAAACAATGTGCTGTCCACGTCATTCACCATATACCTTCAAGATTACATACAATCAAACAATGTGCTGTCCACCTCATTCACCATATACCTTCAAGATTACATACAATCAAACAATGTGCTGTCCACCTCATTCACCAAAAACTGTCAAGATTACAGATCAAACATAGTACTGTCCACATTATTCCCTGCACTATAAACTGTTAACATTACACAAGATCAAATACTGTGCTTTCCATATCATTCAATCTACTACTGTCAAGATTACAGATAATAATACAGGAAGTTAAAGATTACAATTTAGGAAGTGAAAAAGTATACATTAGTGAGCCTCACCTCCCCAAAGCCTTTCAGAAAAAGCATATTGCCCTGTTCTATACATGTCAACATGACTGTACAGAATAGAATGGAAGAGAGAAAAAGACTGCAAGCCCTACGACAAGCTAATGATGTTTATGACTGTCCCCATCTGACTTTCAGGGACAGAGTTGGGGGGGAGGGGGGGTGTCAGGGAATGAACCCACAGCCTCCTAAGAAGCACCTCATGATAGATTACTAATAAGGCATTTGTGAAACTGAGTCTGTTGATCTGAAAGGTAAAGATATCATAGCCTAGCTGTAAACCACAACACAACGTGCCAGCAGAAGAAGATATGTAACAATTACAAGTCTAAAGGCTAGGAAGTACTTACGCTGCGGCCAATCTGGTCACACGGATGCCAAACTTGAAGTTCACCTGTCCCAAAATGAAACAGCCAACACAAAACATTGCCATGGCGACGGTAAATGCAAGAGCCAATCTTTTATTTCTGTCTGAACACTCAGGGTCTCGCTTAGCCAACAATCTTTAAAAATGGAGAGATGTTAAATTAATGCTAGCTACAAATACACAACAAAAAAAGCACAGATCTCAGCCAAGTAAGTCAATGATCAACAACAATCAGATAAAGCAAAATATGAAAGAATCAAACCCTGGGCTGCAATAACAATAGTTCACCTGTCTCAAAATGAAACTGCCGACACAAAATATGGCCATGGCAATGGTAAATGCAAAAGCCAGTCTTTCATTTCTGTCTAAACACTCAGGGTCTCGCTTAGCCAACAATCTTTAAGAATGCAAAGATGTTAAATTAATGCTAGCTACAAAAACACCACCAAAAGCACAGATCTCAGCCAAGTAAGTCAATGATCAACAACAATCAGATAAGAAAATTTGCAATGATCCATTTTGTTTAAGCCCACCACAGTTGCTACCTGAAGGTCTGACAACCCTACAATTACAACATTTTAATCTGGACATCAAGCCAACAGGGCAAATCCCAGATAGCCTGTTCAGCCCCTAAATAAGTTATTGCACCCACATCAGTCCAACCAGCCTGGTACACCAAGTCTTGTGCAAGTAAGGGTCATGAATGTGCATGTATGTGTCTATGTGCAATGTTAGATGTCAGTAAGTCAATGATCAACAACAATCAGATAAAGCAAAATATGGAAGAATCAAACCCTGGGCTGCAATAACAATAGTTCACCTGTCTCAAAATGAAACTGCCGACACAAAATATGGCCATGGCAATGGTAAATGCAAAAGCCAGTCTTTCATTTCTGTCTAAACACTCAGGGTCTCGCTTAGCCAACAATCTTTAAGAATGCAAAGATGTTAAATTAATGCTAGCTACAAAAACACCACCAAAAGCACAGATCTCAGCCAAGTAAGTCAATGATCAACAACAATCAGATAAGAAAATTTGCAATGATCCATTTTGTTTAAGCCCACCACAGTTGCTACCTGAAGGTCTGACAACCCTACAATTACAACATTTTAATCTGGACATCAAGCCAACAGGGCAAATCCCAGATAGCCTGTTCAGCCCCTAAATAAGTTATTGCACCCACATCAGTCCAACCAGCCTGGTACACCAAGTCTTGTGCAAGTAAGGGTCGTGAATGTGCATGTATGAGTCTATGTGCAATGTTAGATGTCAGTTATGTGCATCCTTTCTTTGAGCAAAAAATGAAAGAATCAAACCCTGGAACGCAATAATAAAAACAGTCTCACTATTCTGCTTCCTCTTTAGCATTCTTCTTCATTCGTTTGCTTATCTTCAGCATTCGGTGTCCTTGAGGTTCATTACTGCAGATATCACCCACCTCCATCCATCTCTGTGACTGGCTTTCTCTATCCAGTTGGTTTATGATCTGTCTGTATTATCTCTCCACTGTCTTCCTGATCTGCCTTATGATCTACTTATACAATTTGCTTTAACTAGTTTCTCAATCATACCAGACAAATGTACACTAAGCTGCTTTTAATTTCAAAAGACTTGCCATTTTTGTAATTACAAACAGTGATTAAGAATAATTCACAGCATCTGTGGAATAAATGCATACATGGTTACTTCATTGTTCACTGTTAAATAACTGCTGTCTCGCTTATATGATGATGACAGGCCATCAGCACAGCCGCATCTTGCAGAATTTGTGTGGAGAGGTCTTAAGTATGCACGGAGTGGGTACTGCTTATCCTCTAAGGTGAAACAAGCCACCACAAAAATATCATGTCATTATTTTCTAAAAAAAAGAACAACTTAGGATAAGATATATAAAAGCAGCAACAACAATCCTTCTGGTCAAGTTAACAGTCAATCTCTGTTCTGTTTCATACAAAAATAGCAACAACAATCCTTCTGGTCAAGTTGACAGTCAATCTCTGTTCTGTTTCATACAAAAACAGCAACAACAATCCTTCTGGTCAAGTTGACAGTCAATCTCTGTTCTGTTTCATACAAAAACAGCAACAACAATCCTTCTGGTCAAATTGACAGTCAATCTCTGTTCTTTTTCATATAAAAACAGCAACAACAATCCTTCTGGTAAATTTGCCAGTCAATCTCTGTTCTGTTTAAATATGGGACACTGAGATATCTCTTTCTGTTATGATAGCAACATAAATTTGTCATGGCTACTAACAACAATTCAGTTAACAGGTAACATAAGTAAGCTATTACGGCTATGAAGATTCTTCAAACATTCACCCCAAAAAAATATCATCCACTTACCCGATATCTGACATTTCAAGAGTCTGGTTAACCTGATAGACAATAGATGTGACATTGCTCACACCTGTGCTATTGAACGAAGCAGTATCATTCTGATATATCAAAGGACAGAGGTCAAGGTACAAGCCTTCATCTTTCAATATGTACACCAATGATCCCCAGCCATAAATCAAACCACCAAAACCAAGACATTCCAGAAAGCCCCAGACAGCATACAGGAAACGGTATTTTGGGTTACCAGGCGTCATGATTTCTGTAAAGATTAAATGGATACATACATTTAAAAAACACTATTAAAAAATCAACCGCATATATTAATAGTGAATGAAAAGATTTGTGATTTTGCCTCGAAGACATTAGCATTTACTTCCCAGGACTGCACCTGGTACCCACTCAAGGCTGGGTCGACCTGGGAGTCAAGGTCATTTTTTTTTAAAAGTCCGGCTCAGTCAGGACGCGAACCCATGACCATCCGATCCACAGGCACACATCTAGCGACCTACACCACGGTGACTACTTCGACCTTTGCTTAGTTAATCAATTCCTGTAACCTATGGTGCTGTTTCACTGGGTTTGAGAGTAATTTTGTCTGTATTCCATAGCTGGTGTTCAAGCAATGAGACAGACATGGCTTATAAAGACATCTTCTTTAGGGGTGTCTAGCTGCTCATGCATCATAGTACTTGTTCCTGCAAACAGGCACTTTCATCACGTCTCAGACGCTCAGCTCTCATTTCTTCCTTCATTCTCATTCCCTTCCTGATGAACCCCCTCCACACAACACGATCCATGGAATTTTGTTCCGAGTCCACCTCAATACCTGTATTATTCATGTCCCACTTGCACGCGTCTTTAATTCACCATTAAAGATGTCCTTAGGGGCTCTGCCATCTTCTATTCTCCAGGTGTGACAGCCACCTGAGCCTTTGTAGACTGAGCATTGAGAGACCTTTGTAATACCTGCTCTTTCAAATACCTCAGTGTTGGTGATCTTGTCCTTCCACTTAATGACAAGAGTGTGTGTGCATATGTATATGTGTGTGTGTGTGTATACACACACACACACACACACATATATATATATAAAAGACACAAATAATCATTTATTGATGGACACTAAAAGGAAAATAGAAGGACATACGAAACATGACAGTAAATCAAAAGCTATAGTTATATGGTGACCCTATCACGACCCTGTCAGGTGGCTTCCGGTGACTTAAATTGTGGACTTCCAGCAACTACCACCACTGCCGAGAGTATATTCCACATCGCTACGCGCGGCGTGGAGTGGGGCCAAACTAGATGTCTAGGACTCACAAGCAGCAGCTACCGCATCTCCTGCAGCCTCCTTCATTTTATTTGCTCGTGAGTCCTAGTCATCTAGTTTAGCCCCGCTTCACGCCACGCGTAGCAATTTGGAATATTCTCTCGGTGGTGGCTGTAGTCGCCGGAAGTCCGCAATTTACATGTGACTGAGGCCCTGTTAGGGTATATTTTCGGCCTCGGTAATTTGGGACCGTTATGTTATTCGGAGGATAGCCGTATTGTTTTTAAACCACGAAATCGAAATTCCCACATTTTTATCAAAAGACAACCTTTTTTGTTAAACTCTATGTGATAGTTACAGTCTGCAGACGGGATAGAATTAATTATCGAAACACTACACAACTAATTACTTGTTTTCCCTTGCTTCTGTTAAGCCCATAAACAGAGGGAACCTGAGGCCTGACGGAAACAGTTGAAACACCACACTGTGAGACCCGTCGGCCGCATGTTTAAGTAAGTTAGTAACTCATGTTTAATTATTATGATCGCACATTCATAATAGGACTGACCTGCAAAGTTTAGGACTGACCTGCAAAGTTTAGCCCTGTTTACTGTTCTTCTAACTGAAACAGGTGACACTAAACTCAGAGAAACAGAAAGAGGCAAAAAACTGCAGGAGTATTGCGCAAAGCCCGCTCTATATGCTGCCCATGTTGGACAGCTGCTGGCTACCGTTAGCCAGTACTGCCGTTAGCGCTAGCGCTGACAAATTGAACAAATTAGTGTGGCGAATTGATTCTACAGACACGGCAGCGGGCGCGTTGCCGCCGACACGGCTAATTTTTTATTTTCTTTAGTTGCGTACCCTTTACAGGATGTTGTTAGAACGAACCCCAGCATTTTTTTTTTGGGCTGTTGTGGTTTCTCTAGGCAAGTTTACGTCCAGTAGTTTGCCATTTTTTCCTTAACAGTCGTCTTCTTGATACCACTGTCGAAACTAACGGAAGGCGCAACGCCCGCAGCAGGGATCGAAACCGGCACCCGGCATTACGAAGCGCGTTCGCAACGCCTAAGCAGTCAACGGCTAATTTGTACAGGTCTGAAAAGGAGCACACTCTCTCACTCTGAAAGCATGGTCCGTAGAAATAAATGCTAGGATTAAATATTGTTAGCTGAATTTGAGATAAGAACACAGAACTAAATCAGCATTATCTTCTTTTACCCCATCAGGACATTACACAAGCGATAAACACACGATGACACAAAGTGCAACCATGCGGATGAGGTCCCAGAAACCGCGTTCAGCCATTAGAACATATTTATGGCGGGGCTATATTGCGGCCCCTGGCAAGAGCCAAAGTAGGGCTTTAAATAACGAACAATTGCACCCTCAAAGTGGTGATAAGGATACTTATGAGCATTATATTTCAGGTCTCTTTCACCCCTTTATCAAACTGACGGTTCGTATGTGTGTGTGTATATATATATATATATATATTATTGTGCATCAAACAAAGCTTACACCCGCTGAGCCCCCGCCCCTAGTAAATTAAAAGGGGGCTAATTACCCCCCCCCCCCCCCCCCATGTGGCTTGATTTCTCTCCGTATAGGCGTCGCAAAAAGCACAAACTCCGTAACTCCGGCGACGATCCTTTAGAATCTCCGTAAGAATTGCAAACATGAATCGAACGACGCAGACGTAAAATGAACCCACGCCCATGAGAGCACGAGGAAAACGACTCCATCACGTCGCCGTGGATACCCCAGCTTTGATAACTGTCACTTACCGCACTGTGAATATGCACAGCAAACACTATTATGCACCAGTTTTGCTGTTGTTAATTCCAAATTTCCTTTCTACAAACTGATAATGCCCATTTTTTTATACCAGTTTCTAAACAAAGCATTTTACTTCCGTAATGGATATTACAGGCACAAAGGACTGTCTTCATTTTATTTTAAGTGCCACATCATCATCCACGTGCCGTTATTAGTCACGAGCAGACGATTATCTCTGCATGGTAAGCTAGTGAATGCCCCCAAGGAGAGACCTCACTGTACTTTAAACCGTGTAATCTAATTTCCTGAATGAGTGGTAATCATTCATAACTAATATCAAACAAAGAGTTTCTGCTACCTCCATTAACGGCACTTAAAATTAGTTGAGCTATTCTTCACATGACATTGCAGAACCAATCCCAGCATAATTTTTTTTTTTAAACTAGGCTCAGGTTCAGCTGTCATTCAACAATCGGCTCTTGGTCATCGCCATTATCAAGTGCCTTGTCTATTGATATGAGCGATCACGCCTCTCACCAATCAACAGCATGTATTGGTTCGTGAGTTGACACTCCTCCATCCATAGCAAAAGAATGTCAAGAATCGTTTTACGCTGCCTTTCCCAGTCTCTCTTCCTAGTGATCGCCACATGTTTCAGTTATCTTCTTCTCGTAACATGACCCAAAAAATGATGACTGCCCCTTTCTGATAGTGTCTTCCAGCCCGCGCCTCTTTCAATACCATTGGGTAAATCAACGCAATGCGGCCTGACGCCGAACCTCCGGCAGCTTTAATTGAACTAGATATCTCGGAATTCTTCTTCTTCTTCGCGTTCACCAGCTGTACACTCTGGCGGAAAGTTCTGGTTGCTCGTCCACTACTGAACTGCAGTCCTGCTCCAGAACCTGAGTGTTGCGTGTGCATCAGTTTTACAGATCTCATTCTCTTGAATACAGACTGTTGGTTCCTTGCCTCTCCGGCAGATGCACTCCGACTTCAAAGAAGCTCACCAATTAGTCGACTCTTACGACATGCTTTTGGGGAGGCAGTGGGTCTATTCTTGTTTTCCCCCACAATGGGGCCTCGGAACCCGCACGGGTGTATCTTGGAATTATAAAGCGTGATCGCAAAGCCCAAGCCACAGAGGCCGTCGATCTTTTATTAGTAGATGAATGTATCATGACTGTCCCATGTGAAAGTTAGTCTTGATGCGACAGCAACTTATACACACGATCATTTCGTAAGAATTGAACTCAAGAATAGATTTCAAACCCTATCAAGTGACCAGACACTCAAAATGCAATCAGCCTTCAGGACAGATGGAACCAGATCAAAGAAACATACAAATCAACTAGCAACAACATATTAGAAACCAGGAAACAACATCACAAAGAATGGATAAGCAGTCAAACCATGGACTATATTGCCAAGCGAAAAAGAATAAAGAGCCTCATAAATCACACTAAATCAGAGCGTCAGAAAGACAAACTAATGTTAGAATATAGCGAACAAAATAAAATGACAAAGAAAAGTGCCAGAGCTGACCAAAAAAAAGATTTATGGAACATCTAGCAGAAACAGCAGAAAATGCTGCTAAAGCACATGATCTACAAACCCTACACAAAATTACCCAGCAAATTTGCGGAAGCAGAAACAATTATCACAGCATACCTATTAGAGATAACCAAGGCAGACTGCTCACCACAGAACAAAAACAAGATATGCAGTGGACTAAACACTTCTCCGACTTCTTGAATAGACCTGATCCTGAAAATCCCCCAGATATTCAACCAGCCTTTCAGAACATTGACATTATTACTGAACCACCAAGCAAACAAGAAATCCTGAAATTAAAGCTATCCACACTTTAAAGAACAACAAAGCACCAGGCAAAGACGAACTGCCAGCAGAACTTCTCAAAGTAGATCCCAACACAAATGCTAGCATTCTAGAACCATTGTTCAAGGATATTTTGGGAAAAGAAGTGTTGCCTGATGACTGGACTGAAGGAACAATAGTCCAAATCCTCAAAAAAGGAGACTTAACAGACTGCTATAATTGGAGGGGAATTACTCTACTCTCAGTACCAAGCAAAATATTTTGTAAAATCATCATAATGCTGCTTGAAAAAGGAGTAGATAAATGCCTACGAGTAGAACAAGCAGGATTCAGAAAGGGGAGAGGGACAACTGAACACATCTT